TTTTTATATAGCACCGATTCTTCACAGGATATGCAGGTAGTGCAATGGATACTGGCAGGGAAAATGGAATCAGCAAGCAGAAAACAAATTCTGACCTAATACTTTTTTTTTTCTTATTTTTGTTCACCCAATAAAAGGTTCAAGAGCCACTTAAGGTAGAGGGTTGCTGGATGAGGTTGTTAAAAGCAGATAACAGTTGGCACAAGACTTGAAGAAGTTAACATTGTAGTGATCGGGGTAGTATCCTCTCAGGAGTCTGTTTTATGAAGTAGTACTTCATTGGAAGAAGCTGTTCAAATGGAACTTCCCCCTTACTAATGGAATACAAAGGAAATGAACATAATTCAACCCCATATAGATGACATGGCATGTCTTAATTGTAGAGGTCAGAAATGAATTCACTTTTATACTAGTAGCCTTTGGAAAGATATAGATCTGTCTCTTCTTACCCCCAGATAAGGGTTAAATAGCAAGGTAAATTAACCTTGGGTGGCAACCTGCTTAACAGAAGTAAAATTCTGAATTCCAAAATATAGAGAAGGCAACAGGAAATCATTCCACTATCTTTCCCAAGATTTCATGAAAATTCATAAATAATAAAGAAAAGGAAACTGTGGACAGCCATAATCACCTAGATTATGAAGCTATATAACATTAAAAAAGAATTATCTAACATCTGTGAGTTCTATTTGAAAGTTAAGCATTATCTATTCTACTATCATTCTCATTTAAGGATATTAACAATATGGTGATGGTTAACAAAGTTTATTTTACAATAAGGACTACCCTGAATTTCAAACCATGGAGAAGGCAGTTGGAAACCACTCCACTATATTTCCCAAGAAGTTATGGCAATTCACAGATAATAAAGAAAAAGTTGTTGTTGTGATGATATAATCCAACTTCCCCATTCATGATAATGGACGGACTGGTTGCCGATTAAGTACGACCACAGCAGACAGTAAGACAGGTCTTCGTTTGTTAACACCTATTGAGGTTAGCATACTCCTGACTCTGTCTCTGTACTTGACACACCTACCTCCAATTATAAACCTATTATTGAAAACCAACACTCGAGTTACTTTGTTTATTATATCTTGCACGAGATATAACAGTTGTGATCACCTATAACCCAAAAAGGATATGATATTATTATTCAAGCAGCTCACTCTAGAGTGGACAAAATAGTTGCACAGACTATTAGTGCAGCAGTGTATTCACTCCTTCCTGGATGTTTTACACCTGTAGCTTTGTTCTATACTAAAGTAAGCTAACAAACAGATCACAACAGCTATTAGGGAGATGTGATTAAATATCCTTTAATGTTTAAAAAAAAAATTATTCAGTATTATTATTGTTAAGCATTATAACATAGCACAAATAGCTATATTGTGGGAAAAGGAATTTTTGAAAATATATGCATTTTTTACGTATTTACGGTTATTTTTTTAAAATTTTTATCAAAAACGACATTCTTGTATATGTAGTTAAGGATAATCGCATACATTAATTACTAATTTTTTAATTAATAACTATTTGTGCTCAGTTGTTGTCATTAATAGTTATCTGCTGATGTGTTAAAATTTTGGAATAATGTAATAATAAAAATTTACATTTTATCTCTCTGATAGATGTCACAATATTAATATTATATTTCTATTGCTTCTAAAAAAAATCTTTTGTTTCACAAAACTTTGAAGAATTTGAATAGTAAACATAAACTGAATCTAGTAAAAACTTTTGCTACTACCCTTTGTGCACAGTACCATCTTGAACATGTGTAAATGAGACAGTGGTTTCATGGTTACATCTCCCAAATCTTCTGGGAAGCACCTTGTATAATTTAGCATTTTTGTAACAGTGACCAAACAAAATACACAGGTGATTATTAATTGATTATATGAGCAACTGAATGAAGATATTTACTTACTCTTCCCCCATGATGGCAGCATGTCACGCAAGGTCACTTTAACATTGGATATTGGACAAAAATTGCCCAATCTACATGACCATTGTTATACTGGCATCAGTAACCAACAAATCTCTTTAATGCAATGAGGGAGGTGCTGCCATAGAACTAGAATTCCTGGGACCAGGCTACCCTTATAGTTTAGAAAAGATGACAACAGATAGTACACTCTGATCCAAACCTGAAGGCTGTGGATCATATCTTCATTATTTACCTACCTCTTCACAATAACAGAAAGTAACAAATGGTTGATTTATTGTGCAGTAGCCAATATGCACATATATGAACCAAAGACAAAAATTTATCACTAACTACTGTCATGCTGGCATCTGTATTGATAAACACGTTAGTGCAATGAGACAGGTGCTGCCAAAGAGTTAGAACACTTGGGACCAGGCATGCCTCATTACAGAAGCATGAAGACAGAAATACAACAAAGAAAATGAAGAACAGTTACTAAACTCTAATTCAAGATCAGAAGTTGGGTAACATTTATTTCCTCTCCTCCCCACAATGATGAGATGTGACACAAAGTCATTTTTATTGTGGTGTGCCTATTGGCCAATACCCAAATTGTCCCTGTAACCACCATCATGCCAGTGTCGGTATTCTGCCAACCCTTCCTCTTTAGTGCAATGAGAAAGGTGCTGCCAAAGGGTTAGAATATCCAGAATGAGGCATCTCTTTTAAATATCTTTTGTTAACTGCCCAAAGACAAAAACACGACAGTGAGGTGGCTGTAGAATAATTGACCACAGTTAAGTCTAATTGGCAGAAATGCCCAGCAACTGAAATTGACAAAGTTTACAAACAAACAATAACAAAAGAAAGAAAATAAAAATGGAAAAATAATACTAAGTAAACAATATACGTGCAAGTCAAAACTAGACAAAGCAGCAGTAATAAGGTAAAAAGTTCATAAAGTAAGAATAGTTTTCACACACGAAAGAGATAAAGACACATGATCTCAGTGTTCTGATTTCAAGACAAGAAAGAACAAAAATATAGCAGATGAGGTCTATTTTATTGGTTATGAAGAATCCTAGCATGCAACTGTATGACTTGTCGATAAATTTTGTGAGGAAAACGTTTTTGCTGTCATTCCAAAATGGATTGGAATCAATGGGTGAAAAAATATTACACTCTGATCCCATCCTGAAGACCAAGGTGAATGTGCTCTGATAGTAAGCAACTTTATATTTTAGGGACAAAATTTGTTCTTTGTCATACAAAAAAATATACGTTCCAACAAATACCAAACAAATCCATAAAATGTTTCTCAGAGTGACTCAATAAAGAAAGTCCTAGGAATTTATTTAAGATATTTTAATTATATTTGACATAAAAAAAAAACATATCAAATAATAAGTAATACTTTGAATAAAATCAACATTACATTACATTAACAAAGTAACTGCTTGTTGTGATTTTCCCCACATCGTAATGATAATAATAAAAATAGCCATATCCAGACAGGAAAAATTTGGTATTCATTGACCAAAATTTATTGTTACTGTCAGCTGAAATTTATAAAATCTATCTCTTAAAACAATTTTTCAGGAAAGTAGGTTTCTCAAGTTCATTAGCTGTTATCACTCTTTCTAATATTAATGAAGGTTTCCTTCCTAATCTTGATAATGTCATTATTTTCTCTTCAAGTGATATTTACTATCAATTTTAGTTGTTGCTGCTTTTGGAAGTCAAGTCATGTGATTTTTGTTACTTGGTAAATTTGTTTGTGTCACTTAGGAGGATCTGATGGAAGGCACAGGGCTCATTCACTTGAGTGATTTTTAAACATTAATCTGAGAAAATGGTTGCATATAACTGACAGTTTAGAGCAGTGATTCTCAACCACTGAGCCACATCACCCTAGATTGCTGTGCGATCCTCTTAAGTGTGCTATAAAATATAAAAAAATACATTTTGGATTTCAATACAAAAGTAATATCCCACATTAGCTAAAAAGGCTTTATCAGTTTTATTGCAATTTTCTATTTCTTATTTATGTGAATTAGGCTTCTCAAACCTGTCTAAATAACATCAAAAATTAGAAGTGAGAAAGACGATGCTAAACTGAAGAAGAAATGAGGGTCTGCTTATTGTACATTTGACCAAACATTGAAGAAATAAAAAAAAACACCAGGTACAAGTTTCACACTAAATAAGCTGTACAAATAGTTGAATAAAAACATTGAAATAAAGTAAGTTCGTATTTGTGCATGTATTTTTTTTTTAAATCTATGGTTTTATTTCATAACATTTAAATATACACCCTTTAAAATTTTGCTAAGTGTGCTGTGATATTTTTATTTGCTTCTAGGTGTGCCATTGCTTAAAAAGATTGAAAAACACTGGTTTAGTGATTCCTGAGTGAGTTGAAAGCCATGCATGATATCCATAAGGAGTTTAGATATGACAAGGCCATTTGAGAACATGACTTGAGTTCTTAGGTTAATATTTTGGGATTTGTAGCATCTTGTTGGACAAAGCTACACTTAGCACAGTCTATTCTATGTTCAATTTCTTTATCTCCTTTACTAAATTTGTTATGATCTATGCAGCAATGTATTTGAAGTGTTTAATATTCATTAATTTCACATTCTGGATTTTCAAGATGTGTAATTACTGTTTTCATTACAATTCTAGATCATGGTCTCTGTTTTTGAAAATGTTTATACTAAGTCCAACATTTTGGAATACTTGGGAAAGAATATTGATGTGACTTGCAAAAATTCTGTGATCATTTAAAAGGAAATTATGGAATACAAAGAAAAATAAGCAGATTTAAAGAGTGAATAGATTTATTAGAAGATAGTGACTAGGGAAATGATAAGTGAATTTTTTTTAAGAAATACAAGAAAATGGATGAGAGAAAAACAGAGAGAGAGAGATCAAAGATAAAGAAAGTGAATAACAACAAGAAGGAGAGAGAGAGAGCATGAGGAAGAGAATTGTGAAGTATAGGGGGAAGAGGTAAATGAACAAAGATTGAGAGGAAGAAATAAGTGCAAAAAGAAAAAGAAAGTAGTCAAAAGTTTAAAGTATGATTAAGAGGAAAGTGAAGTGATAGTGTTAGAGAGAGAAAGAGAATGAAAATAATAACAGGGATAAAAAGAGAGGAGGAAAGAGGTAAATGACTGAAAGAGAGAGAGAGGAAACAAATGCAGAAGCAAATACAAAGAAACAGAAGAGACACAGGAATCTAGGGGACAATATGAAGTGAAATAATGAAATTTAAAGAAGAGTTTTAAATAGAAAGAAAAAGAGAGAGAAAGTAAATGTCAGAGAGATAGAAAGCAAATGTAAAAGGAGAAGGTGCAAAGAGAGACTGAGAGATTTAGAAAGCAAATGTAAAGGGAGAGGTTGTAAAGAGAGACTGAAAGAGATAGAAAGCAAATGTAAAGTGAGAGGTGGCAGAGGGAGATTGAGATATAGAAAGCGACTGCAAAGGTAGAGGTTTCAAAGAGAGATCGATAAAATGAAAAGAGAGAAGTCAAAAGGAAGTGAAATAGAAAAAGAAAGATAGAGGAGAAAAAGGATGAAAACGAAAGAGAGGGGAATGGAAAGAGAGAGAAAGAAAGAGAGAGAAGTCAACTTGAGAGAGAAAAAGAGAAAGGATAGATAGATAGATAGATAGATAGATAGATAGATAGATAGATAGATAGATAGATAGATAGGACAAGTGTGAAAGAGACAAGAGAGCAAAATGAGAAATAAAGGAGAACAAAGAGAGAACGAAAAGGGCAAGGATCAAAATAAATAGAAATGAGATAGTTTGGGAGAGAGAAAGCTATAGAGATTTCAAGAGAAAAATATTAGAGGGACAGTTAGAACAAAGCATCAGACCAGCAGACAATCAGGAAAGATGGAGTGAGAAAAGAAATGGAAGCCAGACAGAAGCACAAATCCAATAAATTCTTCTCTGCAATCATTTTTGTTTTAATTTTATGGTTAAAAGATTGTGAATTCATTCAATAAAGGATTAATTTTGTGAGGAAATAAATGAATCAAGGAAGTGTAGGAGATGGAGAGAAAGTAGCTACAAAAACATAAAAACAAAGGAAAATAAATTAAGAAATAGGTAAAGAATAAAATATTGCTTTCATGTCTTCAGTTTATTTCATTTTATTTTCTTCAATTTTATTTCATCTTATTTTATTATTATTTGCCTCAGGTTGGACGGTTGACAAAATCTAGCCAACCATATATGGCTATTTGGGCTCTAGAGAAATATGAATTGCATTCTTTGTCTTCAGTCTGGTGAATAGATTCTAGCCACAACCTGTCCAAAGTCTTCTGATTACACATGAGATCGGAATACATTTAAATAGATGCACATCTAATAAATATATAATATATTCATATGTACATATACAGTGTCCTGGGTGTCTGAAAGAAAAACAATTTAAAAATTAATAATATACTTATGAGTATATGTTATTGATATATATTAAATTACATAATTTTATGTATAACTGTTGTTGTGGTATGATTATTTTATTTTATATTATTATTATACATATATGTGTGTATGTGTGTGTGTGTGTGTATGTATGTATGTATGTATGTATTACAAAAAAATATTGGTGTTAATATTGGTTTTCATTATATATTTAAACTCAGAGGCTACAAGCAAGCACAATTTATAATTATAAAAGCATAATCTAGCTTCATGATCCCTGATCATCAGGAAAAACTTGAGCAAAAGTATTTTATATTCTTTATATTTTACAATTTTCTGTTTTATTTAAGCTCCACATAGTTTTGAGCACTTTTACGGCACTTCTTATAAAAGTTAGTTACTAAATAGAAGTATGCTTAAATCAATATATATATATATATATATATATATATATATATATATATATATATATATATATGTGTGTGTGTGTGTGTGTATGTATGTATGTATGTGTGCACTGGAGAGCATTATTATTATATTATGGATAATTTAATATAATTAATTTTTAACTCACATTTTATATATATATTATATAAGTATACACACACACACACACACATATATATATATATATATATACTGCGTGCGATCTGTAAATTGTTGCTATTTTATATTTTTAATTTTGTGCGTGCTCATTGTTTGTTTTTGATTTTGTCAAATGCACAGTACACTAGAGTTAATTGGATAATTTGGAAATGGCAGGATTTGGAAAGAGTTGGATGAGTCTAAAACTCACTCCGATCACTATCATAAGAAAAGAACTTGTTGGTGAGGGCCTCAGACACAACAAGGAGGCTTACACCAAATGCCTTGATGAGGTAGTGCTGCTCTGAGGGTGGCTTCTGGAAGACCCCTATGTCTGGCAACAGGACTCTGCACCATGCCACACAAGCAGGAGAACCCAGTCATGACTGTCAGACAATTTCAGTGACCACATCACCCTTTACATCTGTCCACCTAACTCCCCAGACTGCAACCCACCTTGATTATTATGTGTAGGGCACAGTTGAGCAAGAGACCAACAAAACTCCTTGTATCACCAAAGATGGACTGAGACAAGGATTATGGAAGCATTCAACAACTTAAACAAGGAGACTGTCCAGAAGAGTTGCAGGAGATTCTGAAGTCGTCTGGCGGTCGTGTTTGAAGCCAATGGCAATTTTATTAAATAAATTTACTCTTCAGTATTTCAAGAGATTTTTGTGCAATTTTGGCAAATATATCTGTTAAAATGAAATGTCAGTGTTATTTTCATTTTTGCATAATTTAGATGACAATTTATCCATCGCACCCTCTGTGTGTGTGTGTGTGTGTGTATATATATATATATATATATATATAGTTAGGCAGCATATCTTTATTCAAACATGTTTCATTGAATATATATACATATATATATTACATCAAACATTATTTTCAGTCGATACCTGGGCTTGAATAGATGCACCATTTTTTATTTTAAACAGTGTCTATTATGTCTACCAGCCTTTGCACACAAGAAAACTTGATAGAAAATGTGGTGTGCATGTGTCTATATATGTGTGCGTGTGTGTGTAATAAAAATGTAGTTTTAAGGTATTCTATATGTATGGGTGAGGATAAAAGTTTTCAATATCCTATGTAAATATATAAGTGCCGACAAATTGTTTCATGCTATCCTCAGGATATATATATATATATATATATATATATGATAAGGTCAAGAACAAATACGAAACTTTTATCAATCTAACATGTTTCACTATTATTAAACCTTCATCATGGAATGAGATATTTTTTCTACTTTTGTGTTGCTTAATTTTCATTGAGTAATCATGTTTTCCATGCATTTGACTTTTTAAACCAATATTATTATAATTTGGTGTGTTCAAAAATTCAAGGAGAGGTGATGTGTGCATCCAAAGTTTTATGTACATGAAACATGACTGACCAATGAAATTCAAACAACACAAAAGTAAAAATACCAGAATTTCTCATTCTCTGATGAAGCTTTAATAAAAAAAAAAGCACTTTAGGCTGATAAATGTTTCCTATTTGTCCTTTATCTTATGATTCTATTGGATTCTGGTCCATATTTGATCCCTATATATATATATATATATATATATATATATATATATATATATATATATATATGTGAAAATATATAGAAAATAGGAAGGAACTGGTTAGGTAAATAATCCAAAGTCCCTTAGTATTTTAGTTATTATTTTTAAAATATAGTGCTCGATACAAAAGTAGAGCATAAAAAATTTCGCTTGAAGATGGAACGGAGCCCATTTTAATTTAAACTCAATTTAATTTAAAGGATTATATTGTAGTTTTGGCTCTTGTTTTGAAACATGAGACCTCTTATGTAGCGATTTGGAATCATATTTTTAAATAAATAATTATATATATATATATATATATATGTATGTATAGTAACAGAGAGGGAGAGAAAAACAATATATCAATAGACTGCCCAATAATATAATCAGGAATTTTTAATATTACAATATAGCATAAATGTGTATAAATTTCAATAAGCTATAAATAGTTCGTAGTGTCTACTATAATCATTTACTTACGATTTTTATTCAAATTTCTTTAACATTAACATTATCTAATTCACAAAAACGAACAATTTCAGATTAAATTATATCAAATGATAACATCCATATTTATCATTAGATGTCAATTACAATATATTAAACAATATACGGACAAGACAGTGATGATAGTCTGTCATTGTTTACATAGATGATTTCTAAGCAACGATAAACACGCGCATATAAGACGCTAGAATTCTCCAATTCACTCTCGTGTGGTCATATGTGACATCATGAGATGCGGTGCAATTGACATCTTTGATAATGGCTTATGTAAGGCAAAAGCTTAGATTGTATTAAAAAAAATATGGATCAATATTGTGAATTTCTTTCTTCGTTCAACGATAATGTTATTAAACTTATCAGACGTTACGAAAAAATTTTACATAAAATAAATAGACAACACTTGTCGATATTATTTAATGAAACGTGCATGAATATATATATATATATATATATATATATATATATATATATATTATTCCAGGATCATTTTCCAACTTATTCAAGATGATCTTCACCCTTCTACTTCTCTGTCCTGGAGTAACAAGATGCCTCATAGCTTTCACATACAATTTCCTTTTCAAGTCTTTTTTCTCTGCTCTTTGGACTGTCATAGCTGAGACTCCTCTCTCAAATGCCAAACGTCTTATGGATTGAGTTGGATCTTTTCTAAATGATCTCTTTAGCTCTAAGTTAAAATAATGATCCCTCTTCTTGTCGTGACCTCCTGATCCTCTTTTTATTCAGCATTCTCTTGATGGTTCTTGAATGGACTTTGAAGATGGAAGCCAGAGTTTGAATGTTGGTACCACTACTGAAGGCCTGAATGATTTTCTTCTTTGACCATTGTTCAGTTGAGAAGACAGTATGGCTGACACAAAATGATTTTAACCTGTTCTCTTTTTAGCTGAATAACTCAAAGGGTTTTTCAGTGATTCTTACAACAAATGGTATCAAGATGACTAAACATCTTATCTGAAAACGTGGAAAAAAGTAACTAAATTAGCTTAGTGTTTTTTTTAGATATTAAACATTTTGTGGGATGGACAGTTATGCTGTAACATGGTTTGTACAATTTTGCTGTTAAACCCGGAATATATATATATATATATATATATATATATATATATATATATATATATATATATATATATATATGAACATAATAAAATAGGCAGCATATGATTAACTCTTTTGTAATATATATATATATATATATTATCAAACACCAAATAGCACTAAAGTACACCAACCAAATTTTAACTATGTGTTTCATGTTATGGCAATTGTGAAAAGGCAAGAGAATTGATTGAACTCTTTAGGATTGTTTCGGTTAGTGTTTGTCTTTTCTTCTTTTGTCTTTTGTCTTTGTTCTTGGCCTCTCTTTTTCTTTTGTCTTTTCATGTTTTCTCCTTTGGTAGGCTTAGAATTGGTAGGGTTGTTCTTTGATGCTTTTCTGGATATTTGGTTTATTTTGGATATATATATATATATATATATATATATATATATATATATATAAAATAAAAAGGAACATAGAAGTCAACACTTAGAGGCGACAGTCTGTTTCATGCTATATGCATGAATCATGCTATATATATATATATATATATATATATATATATATATATATCAAAACAAAAGATGAAGATAAAAGTCCATAATAAGAAAAATTAATTCCCAAAGAAAATTTATAATATCTCATGTCAGATCATTGGACAACTCTTAAATATCAACATCCAACTTTTCCAAGACAATCAAATATTATTTGCTGTAACTGGCTGTGTAATAGTTCAGCAAAATATTTTATTAAAGTAACAAAGATCAGGATATTAGTACAAATATAAGCATAACTCCTATATTATTCTGCTGAGCC